GGGGGGATGTACTGTCTCTAATCCTAATCTTAAACATTTACCAAATATAACGCTGTATAAGTTTTATCATACAGTGTATAAATTAGAAGCAGCCCATAATGACACGCGTGTGCCCGAATCGATTGCCTGTCAGAAAATAGAAGCAAAAAAAATTTTTGGAATAACTTTTTCACTAGTCAAATTCATTTTCACGGATAGCGTTTAGGACTTTAAATTGAATATATGAATGAATTTTATTTTACATAACCAACAATTAAAAAAAACAAAACAAAACAAAAAAAAAAAACGTAAAGAGATTTTGTATACTACCCGCCTTCTGCTCGAGGATTGGCTAGCACTTCTGAAAACTGCCCAATCAGCGAGCTGTGAATTGTCCCCTGCTGAAGTAATGACCAATCATCATGCAGGAGGCGGGACTTGCTGTAATGCGGAAGCGAAATGAAGTGAAGGACCCCAAAATGGCGGCCGCCATAGAAAAAACTGAGACCTGAAGGTGAGTTTGAATTACATCTTATTTATTTAAAAATGTATTAATACAAAATATATTTTTAAAATCATATAAGTGACAAAAGCGTGAATAACTGTGAATAATTAAAATTTAGATCGCGAGCTAAATGAATGTTACGTAATTCCCAGACTTTACACTATTAATGATCTAACTTAAATAATAGAAACAATCTGAAATTCTTTCTCAGAACTACAGAAATATAAGGAATTTTGTAAAGTTAAACCCTAAAAGCTGTTTTACTCCTTATACAAGTGCATTGCAGTGCTTGTGTATCCTCTATAGTGTACTATTGTGGATATTTAGTCCAATATTAAAGTGAAACTCCAACCTGAAACACATTAAATATGTTTATATTGAAATATCTGTCAGGTGTTTAATGAGTCTGCTGATAGTTTGTTGGTTGGTGTTATATTTTCTTTATTCCTGTGAGAATTTATTGGTCGTGTGTCACTCTGACGTCACGGGGGGGCATTATTATTGTTATAGTTATAAAGTGAAAAAAAATATATATATATATATGTTCTATTGGCTGATCGTGTGAGGGGTCACCACAGCAGATCATTGGTCCGCTTGTTTGATTTGGCACAGGTTTTTACGTCAGAGGCCCTTCCTGACGCAACCCTCCCATTTTATCCGGGTTTGGGACCGACACTGAGAGCGCACTCCCTGGGTGGGTTGGTTCCCTGCCCGGGTATTGAGCCCGGGCTGTGGCGGTGAGAGCGTGGGATCCTTAGCCGCTAGACCACCAGGGGCCACAAAGTTATATATACAGTTACGAAGTGAAAAAAATATTCAGTCATTTCAAACATAAGTGATAACAGTCAGGTTTGGCATGTTCGTTCCTAAAAACAAAAGAGCAAGTGCGAAATCATATTAATGAGAAATCCGGCGTAGTAGAGCTGTCGGTGCAAACACTGGACACAAATTCCCAGAATGCAATGCAGTGTGACACTGAGATACAGCAGAGACTCGGCTCAGCTAGTTGGCAATCTACGTTATGACGAGCGCGACGGTGTAGGCGGTGATATTGGTGTGAAAG